GAGAGGGAAACACAGAATCCGAAGCAGGCTCCAGGCTCTGAGCGGTCAGCACAGAGCCCGACGCGGGGCTCGAACTCATGAACTGTGAGATCATGACCTGAGCCGAAGTCGGACGCTCAACCGACCGAGCCACCCAGGTGCCCCTCTTCATCATACCCACAACGCATTAACTAGTCTATTAACTCTTTCTCTCAAATCAGTATGAATTCATGGTGTGTGAAGAAAGGATTAAGTTTAAATGCCAGTCATCCACTTCTTATAAAACAAAAATTTTTTAGGGGTACTTGGGTGGCTCAGTCAGTTGAGTATTCAACTTTGGCTCAGGTCACGATCGCATAGTTTGTGAGTTTGAGCCCCACATTGGGCTTGCCGCTGTCGGCGCAGCTTTGGATCTTCTCTCCCCCACCCCACCCCCCACCCTTGCCCACCTCTCTGTGCCTCTTCCCCACTTGTGCTCTTTCAGAAATAAATAAATCTTAAAAAAATTTTTTTTTATTTTAATTTTTCATTTCAGAGAGAGAGAGAGACAGAGAGCGCACACAGGGGAGGTGGGGCAGAGGGAAGGAGGGCAAGAAGGAGGGGAAGGAAGGGAGGGAGAGAAAGAGAGACAGAGAGACAGAGACAGAGAATCTTAAGCAGGCTCCACACTCAGCGCAGAGCTGGCTGTGGGGCTCGATCTTGTGACTGAAAGATCATTGGATGCTCAACCAATTGAGCCACCCAAGATGTCCCCAGTTATCCACTTCCGATGCTGATTCTACATTCAACTCTTGATAATCTAAATTAATTGTAAACAGTGACAGTATAATATAATGGAGACAATTCATAGGTTATCCCAGATCTCACTTTATCTCCCAATTCCCAAAGTCTTCCAAGTGATTTCCTCAGAAGGTAGCAGGAGGAAGGGAAAGGAGTCCCTTGGACACCAAAAGGCTTAGCTGTCCCTTGCAGGCTTACCCCTGATGACCATAGTTTTCTCATGGGGATAAGAATCCTCTTTTAGTTAAACGACACATGGGGCGCCTGGGTGGCGCAGTCGGTTAAGCGTCCGACTTCAGCCAGGTCACGATCTCGCGGTCCGTGAGTTCGAGCCCCGCGTCGGGCTCTGGGCTGATGGCTCGGAGCCTGGAGCCTGCTTCCGATTCTGTGTCTCCCTCTCTCTCTCTGCCCCTCCCCCGTTCATGCTTTGTCTCTCTCTGTCTCAAAAATAAATAAACGTTAAAAAAAAAAAAAATTAAAAAAAAAAAAAAAACGACACAGAGGGAAGAGCTTACCATTGTTCTAGAAAACACAAGGCAAACCTGTTCTTTGGCCTACTTAATAGCACCAAATTGTCAAGAGCCTGAATTTACTAGAACTTCCCTTGTTCCACCTGCTTTCTGAGGGAAATTTTTAGCGTCACTAAACTATTTTTATGTCAACTTTATCTTACATGACAATAATAATAATAAAGTCATTATTATAGCTAGTCCTCATAGTCATTAACTACCTGCCAAGTACAAAGCTAGGTAATTCCCAGGCGTGGACTCAATCCTTTACATTAACCCTCGACATAGGTACTAGCTTTACAGATGAAGAAACCGAGCTTTAGTGACATTTAATAGCTGGCCCAAAATTTCATAGAAGGAAGTAAAATAGCCAGATTTCAAACCCAGATTTGGATGCTCTAAAGCCTGTGTTGTTTTTCGTTTTTGTTTTTTTTCATGTTTGTTCATTTTTTTTTTTTTTAATTTTTTTTTCAACGTTTATTTATTTTTGGGACAGAGAGAGACAGAGCATGAACGGGCGAGGGGCAGAGAGAGAGGGAGACACAGAATCGGAAACAGGCTCCAGGCTCTGAGCCATCAGCCCAGAGCCCGACGCGGGGCTCGAACTCACGGACCGCGAGATCGTGACCTGGCTGAAGTCGGACGCTTAACCGACTGTGCCACCCAGGCGCCCCTGTTTGTTCATTTTTGAGAGATGGAGAGACTGAGCGGGAGCGGGAGAGGGGCAGAGAGAGAGAGAGGGAGACACAGAATCCGGGGCAGGCTCCGGGCTCTGAGCTGTCGGCACAGAGCCCGATGCGGGGCTCGAACTCACGAACCGTGGGATCGTGACCTGAGCCGAAGTCGGACACTTGACCGACTGAGCCACCCAGGCGCCCCTAAAGCCTGTGTTCTTAAACCCACTACACCATCTGCCTCCATCGTTCCCCTGCCCTCCTCTCATCCTAACTCCCTCGCACTTGGTCTCTGCAGCCACACCTGCCTAACGCTATGGGCCCCTGTACGCTATGGGCTGCCTGGCAGAGTATGGCCTAAGAGGAGGCTCATGGAAGCCTCCAGATTAAGTGACATAGTTTATCCCTGAATCTACTACTCCTGCGACTGCACCGCACTTTCTGTGCAGTTCCTTGTGTGGTTTTCCATCGTGCGGGCCTCACATGAAGGAAGTCGATTGGCCAAGAATGAGCTAGATATCGTTGGGTGCACGGACCACATACTACGAGTAAAACAGAGACAGAGAGTAGACAATGTAGAGCCTAGACTACAGCACTGATCGTGAGAGACTGGCCGCCGCAAGGACGTGGGCAAAGGGACACTGGGTTATTGACGCCGCCGTGTCCAGCCCACCGCTTTACAAGATTAAGGCGACACGTTCAGGGATGTTTGAACGGCCACTAACAATTGCCTCCAGGGAAGGATCCTGGGGAAGCAGCCACCTTCGGCGGCCTGCTAAACAGTCATCGCGAGAACGGTTTTCTCGCTGAAAACAAAAGAGAATGGAATGTTTTCAGCTTAGGATACCTTGTGGACATTCTAAGGGGCAAGCATTCCCTCTTCTTGTCTCCCTTTCCAGCAAGTACTGGAAACAATGGCAGCAGGCACATCACAGACACAGTGCTGTACACGTCTTTGCCTCCTAGAATCCTTCCCAGGGCGTGACCGCTGTCCCTGAAGATGAGGTACTCCTCTCTTCTGAGAGCAAAAAGGATCTTTTACATGTTTCTAGATAAGGGTTCTCTCCAAATCCAAGAGACTTGGGAGGCTGAGTGAGGGCTTCCTGGGACATGTTTTGTAGTCTCCAGAACCTATCACAGACAGAAAGTGAGAATCCACCCTTTCCTTTCTGTTCCTTTCCATCACTGTGGACAGACATGCAGCACTGGAGGTAGGTGGGAAGGGAATCACACGCTCAGTGTGGGTTACCGTCCGGGTGTGCGTGCGCCGAATATAAGAAGTCTTAAAGTTACCAGGCCCCGAGGAAGACAACTTACAATGATGTCTTGTCTGGTTTTGAAAGTGCTGATATAGTGGCTATAGTGGCTGTCGTCCATTTGCTGCAGAATCGCAATCATACAGGCCACAAAACCCCCCTGGAAGGAGAGAAGAAACACAAATCCAGAAGCCTTAGGCCACCGACTGGCAAAACAAGACCCGTGCGCACGTACTTTGGTTTTCGCCACCCAGTTACCGGAAAACAGGGACCCTACCAAACTGGCAACATTCTGCGCCCTGACGGTCTACAAGGCACACGCTTTGCTGTTGCTGCTGACAATGATCTCCTTCCAGGTTTCAGTTAAGGAATGTGGAGGGCTTTATTCATCCCTTTGCTAGTACGGCTTGTAGAGAGACCTGTAGGTCGATGGACACTGACTCTAAGGTCTCAGCTAGACGACGAGTTACAATACAAACGACCTGGGGACCCTGGGTTGCTTTTTGAGACAGAGAGAGTTGTAGTCCATTCAGAAATGTGTGAAATGGCACAAATCGGACTGTGGAGGGATGCAAGGAGGAAAAAGAGATCATAAAACTGAGAGTGGATGAGCAGAGAGGGAAATGAATGCTCCCGGTCTTTCCAGCTCCAGAATCTTTCAGTTACTTCTGGCATGTTACGCACGTGTGATTAGGGACGTGCCAGGGAGAAAGGGACTGAATAGCTTAGTATTTTTGTCAATTTATATGTATATTTAAATTTTTTTTTAACATTTGTTTATTTTTGAAGGACAGAGAGAGACAGGGCACTAGTGGGGGAGGGGCAGAGAGAGAGAGGGAGACACAGACTCTGAAGCAGGCTCCAGGCCTGAGCTGTCAGCACAGAGCCCGACGCGGGGCTCGAACTCACCAGCCGTGAGATCGTGACTTGAGCCGAAGTCGGAGACTCAACCGACTGAGCCACCCAGGTGCCCCATACTATAATTTTTTAAAGTATAGACTAATTTATGTTTTCTTCTAGCTGCTTTAGTGCTTACTTTTTTTTACACTGACCTTTCATTCCATCTGATGTTGATTTTTTTTGGTTATAGCATGAAATAAAGGCAAATTTTTTTCCACGTTGTTCATAGATTTTCCAAGTAACATTTATTAAAAATCTCCACTTTCCTAGAAACGGGAACCCTCTTGCACTGTTGGTGGGAATGCAAATTGGTGCAGCCACTCTGGAAAACAGTGTGGAGGTTCCTCAAAAAAATTAAAAATAGATCTACCCTATGACCCAGCAATAGCACTGCTAGGCATTTACCCAAGGGATACAGGAGTGCTGATGCATAGGGGCACTTGTACCCCAATGTTTATAGCAGCACTCTCAACAATAGCCAAATTATGGAAAGAGCCTAAATGTCCATCAACTAATGAATGGGTAAAGAAATTGTGGTTTATATACACAATGGAGTACTATGTGGCAATGAGAAAGAATG